AAATGAGAATATTAACATGAGTAATAATAACAATTCCATTATAAATCTTATAATAAAGGATATTTCATATTTTGGCACCTAAATATGTGCCTTTATTTGAGTGTCTAAGGTTACAATTTTGTTTTTATGTGCTGTTGAGTTGCTGTGACCTATATCAACACTATGTACAGCAGCTCTGAACTCTATCTTGAGCCAGTCTCACTGATTCCGACACACTAACCCTCATTGCCCCAGGCACTGTATCAATCCATCTCATCCGGGGTCTTCCTCTCCTGCAGTGTCCCTCTATCCTAACAAGCATAATGTCCTTCTGCAAGGACTGGTCTCTCCCGGCCACATGCCCAAAGTATGTGAGGAGGAGCTTCGAAATCATAGCCTCCAAGCAGAAACTTAGTTCCATCCTCTCCAAGATGGACCTGTTTTGTTTTGGGGTTTTTTGAGTTTTTTTTCTTTGTGGTCAATGGTATGTTCAAGACTCTTTTTCAGCACTACAACTCAAAAGGCATCAATTCTTCTGTCATCCTTAGTCATTGTCCAGCTCTCTGATGCATGGCAAGTAATTGTGAAGATTATGGCCTATATCAGGTGCACCTTGGTGTCTAGACTGACATCATTACTTCTCAGTACTCTGGAGAACTCCTTGAAAATAGATTTTCCCAGTGCAATTTGTCTTTTGATTTCCTGACTGCTGATGCCAAGAGTGTTGATTGTGTACTTTAGAATAGATCTTGAAATGATCTTTTTGACTAGGAATGTAACACTATTCTTCCTAATTTTTTCATTCCCACCATAGTATATTTGACTGTCAGATTGAAAGTGGCCAGTGCCAGTCTATCTCAGCTCACTAATTAATGCCTTGAATGCTGATATTTATATGTTCAATTTAATTTTTGACAACTTCCAATTTTCCTACATTCATGTTCATACATTCTCTTACAATTATCAGTGGCTATTTACAGCTATTTCTGTATTTAAATTGTTAACAGGGTTTTCAAAGACTTTTTTTTCTGAAGTAGATGGCCAATCCTTTTTAGGATGAGGTTATACTCTTTTTACTTAAAGAGCTTTGAAGAACAATGAATGTTAATCTATTGTTTGTGAGGGCTGTTAGTTTCTTTATTGACAAAAGAAATTGTCATTTCCTTTAAAGTTGTTTAGTTTTAAAACAAAACACACAAACACGTACTGCAAAGCAAAACTAACCTGGAGAAAAAAAATTTAAAAATCCACTATTTGTATGCTTGATTGTATAATACTAGAATTTTTTCTGTTTAATTAAAATACTTATTTAGGAATTCTCCTATGTTCATTTAGCTCAGTTAAATTTTTCAAATAATCAAGGGTATTCTAAATAGTTATTGTTATGTTATTGTTGTTTTGGTGTGCCGTTGAACCACCTGAGATTCATGGTGACCCTAGGTAAAACACGTCTGATGCCTGCTCTATCCTGAGTCAGTCTCACTGACTCCGACACACCTACCCCCATTGCCCCAATTACTGTATTGATCCATCTTATCCAAGGTCTTCCTCTCCTGTGTTGTCTCTCCACCCTTCTGAGGGTAATGTTCTTCTCCAAGGGGTAGTCCCTTCTGGCCACATGCCCAAGTTATATGAGAAGGGGCTTCAAAATCCTAGCCTCCAGGGAGAAACTTGGTTTCACCCTCTCCAAGATGGACCTATTTGTTTTCTTGGCAGTAGAAAATATTTAATTTTCATCTTGGTATCCGTGAGTCAACTTCTTTTGAAAAATTAGCATTTTTTTTTGTAAAATTGTGAATTCAAAGTTCATTTTAAATTTATTTATTTTCTTAAAAAATAAAATAATAACACTTGTCACTAATAACAGTAAAAAAAAACACCACAATTAAGTCAAATTTCTTTATATACATTATAACTAGGTATATTTTCCTCCAACTAGGAAGTTAATAAAAAAGAAACCTAAAATGCTGCAGCCTTGGATATACTTGCCAGTTTATACTAGGAAATTTAGTGGACAGCCCAACAGAATGTGAAAATTATCAAACAATATCATTAATATCTCATTCAAGCAAAAGAGTGTTTAAGATTATTTTAAATCAGCTATAACAATACAATGATAACAAATGACCAGAAGTTCAAAGTGGTTTTAGAAGAAGCCACAGACCCAGGGATATCATTCCTAATTTCAGATAAACAGAAAATACCAAAATAATGTCTATTTGTATTTTAATAGCTATGCAAAGGCATTTGATGTGTAGATAATAACAAATTAGGACTAACGTTGAGAAGAATGGGACTCCTAGAACACTTAATTGTGCTAATAATAAATGTATACGTAGACCAAGAAGCTGGTACCCATGGTGGACAGTGTTGGCTGGAGCTTCCCTACTAAAACAAGCTTGGAAGCAGGAGCGGCATCCACTTCCAAAATGGCTTGCCTCAGGAAACTCTATGTATGAACAGTGCTCAGGCCGTTCGTTCATAGGGTCATTATGAGTCGTCTACGACTCGACGGCATCAAACAACAACAACAGACCAAGAAGCTGTTGTCTGAATTGATCAAGGGAACAATGCACAGTTTAAAATCAAGAAGGGTGAGAGTCAGGGTTATATCCTTTTTCCATATCTATTCAGTATATATGCTGAGGAAATAAGTCACGAAGCTGGTCTCTATGAATAATAATATTTCATTAGATTTGGAGGAAGACTGATCAAAAACCTGTGCTACACAAATGACATAGATTTGCTTACTGAAATGAGGACGATATTGAATACTTGCTGCATAAGATCAAGGACTATAACCTTAAGTATGGATTTATGTTAACATCAAGAAAATAAAGGTCTTCACCACAGGAACAACAGTCAAAATTATGATGATGGACAAAGTATTAAAGCTGTCAATGATTTTACCTTACTTGGATCAACAATTAATACCCTTGGTACTAGCAATCTGAAAATTAGGAGATGCATTGCATTGGAAAAATCTGCTGTCAGAGACCTCTCAAAAATCCTGAGAGCAATGATATCATATTAAAGACTAAGGTATGCCTGATTCAGACCATGGTCTTTTTAGTCACCTGTTATACATGATAGAGCTGGACACTGCATAATAATGATAGAAGACTTGATGCTTTTAGGTAATGGTGCTGGAGACGAGTACTGATTATCCATGGACTAAGAAAAACCAAAATTATATGTCTTGGAGAAAGTGCAGCCAGAATGCTCCTTGAAGGCAAAGGTGACAAAGCTTCATCTTTCATACTTTGGACTTATAGCTAGGAGAAGCTATTCCTTGGAAAGTGACATCATGTTTGGAACTACAGAGGATCAGTGTTGAAGAGGAAGACCCTTAACAAGATGGGTTGACACATTGACTTCAGCAGACAACAATCAAATGAGAATTCTAGGAGTATTACTATTACTTTAGGTGAAAATATTTTAACTAATTTGAAGACAAAACTGTTAATTACCAAAATGTGCATTTTTTTCAGTTTTATTTTGTCTTCTTTTCTTTTTCGCTTTCTTACTTTCTGATGACATTTACATCACTGTGAGTGGGTTTTATTCCCCTTTTCTATTAATCAAATATCAATATAGTTCTGAAAACAGAGAATTATATTATGGACAATTTTCTTAGATTCTCTTCCTACCAATCACATTTCAAATCTACTTTGAGTGTTAATATTAAAGACTAATTTGAAGGCTTTCTTGATTTTTGCCAAGAAAAACAACATATAATTTTTACAGTCTTAACAAGCATTTCCTGTTTATATACTCGTGCAAGGTTTTTGAAAATTTTTTTTAGATTTTATTTTAATAATTTTAATGAACATTTACAGAGATTTTGGATTTCCATTCATTCATTGCTGCACTTTTCTCCCTGCCCAGCCCTCCGCCCCACCCCCACCCCAGTTCGCTCCTCTCTTTGAAAGGGAAAAAAATCTTTCTTTGATATACAATCCCCCCGCACCCCTCCCACTACCCCATGTACACTCCACTATGCAACCATAATTGTGGAATCTTGTGATAACCATAATACCCTATAGTACATCGCTTTTAAATTATTCTTTCCTTCCTCTGTTTCAATGCAGTATATGCAATTTATCCAGTTTTTCTCAGTCTTACCCCAACCCTGATATCAGTCCCATTTTACAGCAGTGGCACCATGCAGTATTTGTCCTTTTGCAACTGAGATATTTCACTCAGCATAAAGTCCTCCAGGGTCACCCATTTTGAATAATATTGCATTAGTTCCTTGTTTTTTCAATGCAGTGTAGTATTCCATTGTGTTAATATACCACAGCTTCTCTATCCATTCGTTTGTTGATGGGCACTTAGGTTGTTTCCAACTCCTTGCTATTGTGAACAAAGCTGCGATAAACATGGGTGTGTGTATCGTGCAAGATTTTATGGGTACTACAATGAAGACATGTAAATTCTCCAGAGCCTAGTAATTTAAGAACAAGGGAAGGAAGTTCCACCATGGCAAGCGGTCACTTGTCTACAAAACACCCCCAGGATACGTCCCATGAGGGGAAGAGATTGCCCTGTAGAGATTTAGAGATAGTTCCTCAATGGAGTTCATCAGGCTTTGGTGAGATTGATGTAACTTTCTCTTCTAGAGAAGTTTAGTGCATTCTAAGGACTTCCTCCCATTCAATAAGTACCTTTTACATATGCATGCAAATGTAATTGCCTAGGATGAGAGCTATAATCTAGTATTCTGTCCAGAATAAAATGACACTGCCTAAGGACATTTTTAATATTTTGGTTTTAATTGTTCCATAGTAGTTGTCTTCATATATTCTTCAGGGAATATTCTGAAAGAGATGCAATCATATTATTTTCTAATTGCTTTTGAAAGAAATTATTTAATGCATTGTTTTGATCATGTTCTATTTGGTGAATAAACTTTTGGAAAGATTATTGGCAATAAGACATTTATTACAGAATAAATAATATGCACTCTATATCCCCTGTAGATTTCTAATGTTCTGAAGTGGATGTCATATTTCTTGCAGGACAGTTCTTTTCACTCTGACTTCTGTAGTTGTACTTGTCATTACAACTGACTGGATCAGCTGGGACAAGCTAAATCGTGGATTTTTGCCCAGTGATGAAGTGTCCAGAGCGTTCTTAGCATCTTTCATCTTGGTCTTTGACCTCCTCATTGTGATGCAGGTAAGTATCTTTGTATCTCTGGCTCTCACAGAAGCTCTTCTCTGTTTTACTCGAAGTATAACAAGCACTCTACAGAGACTGGCTCCCGTAAGCTAGAGTGCAAAATTCACCTCACTAGTAGTGGGAAAATGATCATATTTTCAGCAGTTTTACCAGGGAAGGGAGAGGAAACCAATTGGTCTTTTCTCATAGGGACCCTATAAACTCATTTTAGGAGATTTGTGAAAGTGGGTCCCAAGAAACCATCCAACATGGGGAGGTTTTCTGCCAAGGCTTCAGGGTTAAAAACAAACAAATGAACAACAACAACAAAATAACTACAAAACAAAACAAATCTGCAAAACTGCCATCTTGTAACTGGAAAGCTGCACAGATGAGGATGACATAAAACTAGCAAACAGAGAAAAGCAATTGCCAATCAACCCAGGTTTTTATAATGGTTGAAATGGAATGATGTAAAAATGGGTGGGTTGGTTTTTTTTTCCTAGTTAGGGAAATTATCGCTTTCTTTCAGCATTCACCAGAGATCATTCCATTTTTGTGTAAACAGTATTTCTTCCCTGCTTAGCAACAGACTGTTTGTACAATAGCTTAGTGCCAGCCAGTGTTACTTGGGTAATCTGGTGTGAATGCTTTTTTGGGTCTTAGGTGTGTTCCTTTGAATGGGTCGGGCTGAGGCATTAGCCATTTATTTGCACTTTTTCTTGCTTGTTAAATTTCCATACGTTTGTCATATATTTTCTTGAAGTGATTTTGGGTTTTGTTCTCCTGCACTATTGTATGCCACCTGGAAAAAAAGCTACCAATGTTGAAGGGGAAGGAGACTTCTTTGTATCTTGAATTTATGGGAAAATTAACAGGATATACGACAGTTTTAATCAGTGTTAGAGCAAAAAAAGAGGTCTTTAAATATAGCCCATGGTGTTTCAGAAGAAAATAATTTTTTTTACGTAATATTTCTCCGGTAACATTTTCAAGATGCTTCACAGGGTGTATTCCTCACCAAAGGGGGTGTGTGTGTGTGTGTGTGTGTGTGTGTGTGTGTGTATTTCTTGTCATCCAATTGGAAATGACTCATAGCTGATCCTCTAGCGACTCCTTAGAATTTAATGTATGCAAAAAAAACAAAGCCAAAATAATAAAAAACCAAAACAAAACAAACACCCAACCCTCAAAATTTATTTGGAACTGAATCTATCTGACCCTTCAGCAGATATTCAGAGACTGTAAATCACACTGAGGAGACTGCCAATTTTTCTCTCACAAAACCATTGGTGAATTTTCACTGCTGAGGAGGAGTCACCTTTAGGTTAGCGTCCTTCAACCTACCTCACCAGAGCCTCCTTTTATAAAGAAAATAAACTTTTAATTGTCTACTACTATCTGACGCTTTCTACCCTGTTTAAATATTTTAATTATTCTATACTTCAAAAAAGGAAAAATATAATAGCATAGTATTTTGCAGATACTATGAACTTACTTTATTGCATTAGTGTCCAAAGTAAGCACATAGTATATAGAACAAATGGGTCTGTCCTGGAGAGGGTGAAACCCAGCTGTTCCCTGGAAGCAAGAATTTTGAAGCTCCTTCTCATGTACTTTGGACTTGTGGCCAAGAGGGACCAGTCCTTGGAGAAGGACTTCAAGCTTGTAAGAGTAGAGGGACAGTGCAGGAGAGGAAGGGCCAGTATGAGATAGATTGACTCAGTGACTAGTGTAATGGAGGTAGGTGTGTCAGAAACTATGAGATTGGGTCAAGTTAAGGCAGGGTTCAGAGCTAATGTACATAGAGTCACTATGAATTTGCACGCGACTTGAAGCTACATAATATAAGCAACATGGACTTACTAAAAAACTACTTGAACAAATTCAAGTCTTGAGCTACAGTAGCAAAGGATTCTATAAGAAACTTTTGAAGGAGGTGGTGGGCTTGTGGGCTGGGCTGGCCTGACGCCTGAAACCTTTAGAGTCTCCCTCTACTCTGGAAGTTGGCTGTCTGGCTGACATGCGGTGGCGGTCTCGCCTTGGTGGCAGGAATGGCATCCACTTCCCAAATAGCTTGCCTCCAGAAACCCTATGAACCTGGAGAATGGATTAAAGTTATACAAGGGTCCAGGTCTTTCATTTATAGGGTTGATATGAGTTGCCTATGACTCGACAACACTTAACAACAACAGCATAGAAAGAAATCAGTTGGCCTAGTAGACAGAAAATGATGCTATCAAGCCAAAGGTGGGTGACTCTTAATTTGTGGCCCTCATGCCTTGTGTTAATAGGGTTTTGGTCAAACATTCTTCTAAGTCATATAGCTCTGGTCTGCCCACTTGCTGTATAGAGGTAACTCGTAGCTGTGAAGCTGAACACTGTTACACTGATGTGTCAAATCTGAAAATGGTCACCCATGATGGACAGTGTTTGGTGGAGCTCCCCAATTAAAACAAGCTTGGAAGTAGGAGTGGCATCCACTTCTGAAATAGCTTGCCTCTGGAAACGCTATGAACCTGGAGAAAGGATGAAAGTTATACAATTGTCCAGGTCTTTTGTTCATAGGTTGCTGTGAGTTGCCTATGACTCAGCAGCCCTTAACAACAACAACATGGTCAAAATATTGTGTAATGCAGGAACCATTGGAAGAAGATAGCAAGAATACATACAATCACCGTATCAAAAAATTGATAGACACTGAACCATGTCAGGAAGTAGCATATGATCAAGAACCAATGGTAATGAAGAAAGGACTTTAAGCTGAACAGAAAACATAGGCAAAAAATAAGACCCCAAGAATTGAGCAATACCAATTGACATGCTTTAACAAATAGATGCAGCCTGGGACCTACTCGCCAATCTATGTTAAGAAATTTGGAAGAAAGCTATCTAGCTACGTGACTGGAAGAGATCTATATTTATTCTTGTTTTTGGTTTTGGGTTTGGTTTTTGTTTTTTTTATAAAAAGGTGATCCAACAGAATGTGGAAATTATTGAACAATATCATTAGTATAATGCTGTTGTTGTTAAGTACCATCTGTAGATGACTCATAGTGACCCAATGAATGAAAGACCTGAACAATTGTATAACTTTCACTGTTTCTCCAAGTTCATAGAGTTTCCGGAAGCAAGCTATTTTGAAAGTGGGTGACACTCCTACTTCCAAGCTTGTTTTAACTGCGGAGCTCCACCAAACACTGTCCACCATGGGTAACACTGAGTCAGCAAGAAAGATGAAATCACTCAGTGTTCTAGAGTGACATGTAACTACATACAAAGGGGTTTAGTACGTGGAAATTGTGAGGATGACACGTATTGAACATAGTTTCCTGTAGTCACAAATCAGAGTTGGACCAATAGCACCTAAAAACAACCAAAATGCAAAGAGGGAGAAGGATCCTTTTGAATTAGTGGTTAAGCTTTCACCTGCTAATTGAAAAGATGGTAGTTTAAACCCATCTGTCAGTAATTTAACTGAAAGGTCAGTAGTTCAACCCTAGCAGCCACTCCATGGGAGAGAGCTGTAATGAACTATTCCTATAAAGATCACAGGCTTGGAAATCCTGTGGGGTAATTGTACTCTATCTTATGGAGTCTTTATGATAATGGGTTAATGCAATGAGGAATGAAAAATTAGATAAAGCCAGTAGGTCCCTTAACTGTTTATCTCTTTACCAACACCCAATGATCCAACACACTCCACTGATTAATTTATTGCTATAACTTTGTATTTTAAGCCTTCTCTCTAATTTTCTCTGCCCATATTTGGGCTCTGACTCCCCTCTGTACTATTGTAAGATAATCTCCTGTGGAAGATCTCCTTTTGCCTTCATACTTCCTTTTGAACCTTATACCCTTTGCAGCATACCCTTACATCTTCCAATCTGAAAAGCCAAGTTGACTGTGTCACATCTCAGCAGTAAATATTGTCTCCTGTGTAAAACGTGTCAAAGTTCCTAGAACTAGTACATATGATAAAAGAGTAAATCCTGTTGGCAATGTTGAGACTCCCAGAACATTTTATTTCAGTGCCCTTCACAAACTGGCTGCTGTTTCCTTACATAAGTCTTCTATGCATTAGCTTCACTTCAAAATAAAGGACTTGTGACTTTGTACTTGACATAAAATACTGTTTCTAAGGTTGTCTATCAGCCTCTTTTTCCTCCTCATAATTGAATTTCCCTGTACTGCTGTACTGACCTATACCTGTTAAGATCATTTCAAGTATCTTCTCATTAAAGTTATGTTCTTACTTCCTCCCTATGATAGAACTTTTTATCTAGATTAAAAATAGGAATCTTAATCTTACTTGTCTCTGCTTTATAAAGCATATGTTTCTGGGTAGAGAAAATGGTTAACATTCTTGGCTGCTAATTGTAAAATTGGGTATGTGATTCCACCCAGAGGCACCTGGTAAGACTAGGCAATCTGAGAAACCAGACATTGGAAATGCTGTGGAGCTCTGGAGCACAGTTCTATTCCAACACGCGGAAAATTCAAAATTTACTTCATGGCAACTGGTACTGCCTTATACAGCCGGAACCACAGCTTAAAACTCTTAATATCCCTATAACCTCAATAACACAGTTTCTTCACATGTGTATGAGTTAAGTCCTATCAAATGAACTATACAACTCATAGTGGCGCTATCAACAATGGGTCTTAACTTTACCCTATCCTGTCCTATCTTCATCATCTCTGATAGATAAGCCCATTTTAACAGTCATGTCTCATTGAGTGCCTTCCTTTCTTTCACTGACCCTCCACCTTTCCAAGCATGATGTCCTTATTTAAGGATTTGCCCTTGCAAACAACATCCCCTAAGTATTTGTGATGAAGCTCCATCATCCTTGCCTCTGAAGAGCACACTGTGTACACTGGAGAAAGATGTGTATATATGCTCTTTTGTAATTCATGACATTCAGTAGTCTTCTATAACACCACAATTCAAAGGCATTCATTATTCGGTAATCCTTATTCATTGTCCAACTTTCAGATGCATATGGAGTAACTGA